TATTAGATATAATTCCTTTATAATTATTACAGTTATGTCTTTCTCCTTTTTTTAAATATTGCCAATAACTTTTGCCAATCACCGTACCATTTCGCAGTACAGAATCTGAGCTACTGAAAGCATCATTAAATAAATCTAAAATACATATATAAAACTCATCAACTTTCATCATGTTTACATTATGATTGTTTTGTTTACATAATAAATTGTTGAATACAGAAAAAATTGTATTTTGTCATGTGGAATCTCACAATATTCTGTGTTAACAGGAGTACCCAGACTATTATGAAGTGATAAAACGGCCCATTGACCTGGACCGCATCTCACAGAAGCTGAAGTCTTCACAATATGAGGGCCTGGATGACATGGTGTCTGATTTTGTGCTCATGTTTGACAATGCCTGCAAATATAATGAGCCTGATTCGCAAATTTACAAGGTGACTGTGTTGGCCACACTGGACATTTTAGTAACATTAAAAGGAGTGTAATGATTCTCCATTTTTATTTACATTATCATATGTGATGCAGCATTGTATGCCCCTGTATATTTGTTTAATGGTTGTATAAAATGAGTTTATTTACAAATGAACTGGAGCTAATTCTTATTACATGAAGCTTCATCAGACAGTAGACTGCTGAATATGAAGCATTTAGTACTGTTGTGATATAAGAATTCTTGTTTTGTGATTTTTAAAATGTCAGCTCAGGAGTGTTTGGTTGTGATGTGTTCTAGAAAGGTTTTGATATCTTATTTTGAACTTATTTTGTGCAGGATGCCCTGATGCTACAGAGGGTGGCTCTTCAAACTAAGCTGCAGTTGCGTGAAGATGAAGAAGCTGTGCCAGATGTCACTGCAGCAGTCCAGGAGCTACTCACATCACTCTTCATCTCAATATATAATCACCAGGATGAAGAGGGTCGCTGTTTCTCTGACTCTATGGCTGAATTGCCAGAACATGATGAAATTGATGGTTCAAAGTAAGTTGATTACTGTGAGTAATAAAATTGTTCAAGTATAGCTATAGAGTAATTTATCTCAGGTAATGCTTGCTATAATTCAGTCCAGAACCTTTTGTCCTCTCATCT